AGGCAACGCGCGCCGCCCTTCCAGTTCTAGCGAATGGGGTTTAACCTTTACACCAGGAAACACCTCTATGGGCGTCTTAGCATGAGAACATGCCTCAAACACATTCATAGCACACTGTTTAATCTCATTGATGGATTTTTCTTTGAAATTTGCCATCATTTGTACTGACGTTTTAATGTCAGTGTGGAGGTTTTTGCTGAAAACAAATTTAAAACCTTCTTCCTCCTCCATGCCGGTTTCATTCCTGTAACCGAAATAAGCTTGGAAGATTTTTTTGTAAGAAACCTTTGGATGTTCATGCTTCCCTTGCGTGACCTTGTCTGCAGCTGGGAAGCCACCAGGTCCCGTGTAGGGGTCGTATTCTCTGATCAAAGCTTCACACAGAAGGTTGTAATCCCTTCTCGTGGCATCAGGTTGACGCTCGATGAAGGTGAACACCTCTCTGTCTGAAGTGAGCCTTATCAGACTGATTTTATCTTCAACCGTAGCATTAGGATAACCACTCAGTCTGAAATCTAGGTCATTGAGATACGCCTTCGTACCAGTAGAACCCATAGGCCCAGGAATAAAGCGTTGAACATATTTTGAGATTTTTTGAAAATCTGAAATTGTGAGCAAAGGCTGTATTATCGGTATCGTAGGAACCAAAATGTCACGTGGAGGTGTGTTGCTAAACACATGTGGAGGTGACGGAATGGGATTAAGAGCAGGAGGTGCACCAAAATTCTTCTGAAGTGATGGTGGGTGACCTGGACTCTGACCTTGGTCATCTTTGAGTTCCAGACAAGCTCCCCCACGTCAGAAATCTTATTTGTTGCTAGGGCTAGTTTCTCCTCACAGGCTTTTAAGCGTTCCTGTGATGTTTGACATTCACTTTGTAAACGCACGCCTTGTTGTACTAACGCCTCCTTTTCCAATCTGCATTCGGTCAGAGCTTTTGATGTGAGCTGCAACTGTTGTTGTAGCCTATCGTTGTCTGAACACAGTGCTTGGTACTTAACCTCTTTTTCCGTCATCTTCTCCTCATATGAGTGAGCTTGTAATGACAGCTGAGCTCGTGAGAGCTCTCTGTCACGTTGTACCTCATTTGCACGGGTCTCCTGATCAAAGTTAGACTGTGCCATGAGTTTGAGGTACTCCTCTCTTTCACTGTTTAACCTTATTGCAAGGTCATCAGCCTTGTCTACCACAGCATAGAATGTTGCTTTCAATAAGAGCGCCAATTTAGCCAGCTGGTCATAGCTTGACTCTGTTTTGTCTGTAGAGGTCACACTCTCTGCAACCACCTTCAGCTCATCCAATAACTCTTTTGAGTTCATGCTGTCCACCTGTTCACCATATGGATGTAAGGATTCTGTGAGCAGCGTCAACGCTCCCTCTAACCAGTCCTTCATCTCACAAGGATCAAAATCCTTTTCTGTCACACCTGCCATGGTTAATCACTGTTCAGCACTTATCTGGTTAAACAGTTGCCAACTTCAGATATTTTTACAGGTAAATACTTGTATTCAAGTGCCATGTGAGTTTCACACACTATTTTAGCTCTGGGTTCACTCAACAGTACTGTTAAAGCCACTTCTTCAAATGAATGGGCACCTATCCGTAGGTTTTACCCCAATGCATGAATATTTTTAAGTAAATGCCTCTTTCTGGCAGTGTTACTTAATGTGCTTAAATCTAACAGATACAGGAACCAGGCCTTTTCCAGTGTTCATTTACTCTAAAGCACTAAATGTTAGGACGGTACTTTTCTGTGGCCCGGTTTGTGTCTGTTTCCCTCGTGCTTCCTCGTTAGTTTCCATTGTTGCCACCTGCGTCTCGTCTCAGCTGTTTGTCATCATGTCTCGTCTCCTCACAGTATTTAAGCAGTCCTCTTCTGTCTTGTCCTTGGTCGGGTCGTCTTCGTTGGTACTCTCCCTTGGTCTCCTGAGTCTTGTCCTAAGTCTGTCCTGAGTCTTCCTGGTCCCTCGAGTTCCCCGTGTCTCTCTTGTCGCCTGAGTTCCTCGTGCCTTGTTCATGTAAGTTTTGCTGCCCCGTCAGCTTGTTTATTTTTGTACTTTTATTTATCATTAAAACATATTTTTTGTATATCTGCCGAGTTGAGTCCCTGTTCTGCACTCTGGGTTCGCTGCTAACCGCAAACTACGACACTAAAACTTAAATAAACCTGCAATTTTTCTAAAAGTCTCACGGCAACTTTAGTTTTAAAACGCTTTTTAAGCAGTTTTATTTACCAGAATTTGCTATTTAAAACAGTTACTCATAAACCAGGTTGTGTTAACAAAAAGAAAAGAAAAAATGAGAGGAATTATCAGTCTCTTCTTTAAGGAAAACTGTTATACTCCTCTTTCAACAGCAGGTGGCGGTGTAAGCTTATTTATACCAGCAGGAGTCTATGACAACTTCCTGTGGATCGTTTCGTTGACATCCGGTTGTTAGCCTTTAGCTAGAATTAGCATCGACCGATTATGGTCACATCAGCATTTTCTGAACGGATTAAAAGCTTAAACGTGGCGTCGCTTTAACAAGCACGTCTATCTGCATGAATACATGAGTTTTGTGGGAACAGTGGCAGCTCCATTTAGCGATTTTAAACACAGTGGAAGCTTCGGTTGAACCGAGATTCATTTCTGGGGTCACGTGATTGAATCAACCAGTGAACAACGGGGTGGGTTTTACAATCTGACATCAGAGGGAGTGAACGCTTACACGTCACCCATTTCTCAGCGAATCAGAGCGACCCAAACAGCGGTTTTCGACCAATCACAATTCGTTATTGCAGCTAGCTGTGTTAGCGATTAGCCTGAACATTCCGGTCAACTTTCGTCCATTAACCTTCAAAAATGTACAGTTTTACTGCTACAAATGTAACGAACAGCTCTTAACAGTGATCTGAGATGGCGCTCAGCTTTAAAACAGCTTTCCATCCATTTAAAACAACTCGTTCAAAATCAGAACCGAGCGAACAGAACCGGGTCAGAACCCCCTTCCTGTTAAAGTTTAAACAGAATCAAACGTTTTACCACAACATAACAGCTTCAGTTACACCACAGATGTACAAATTTCAGCTTTAAGATGAACACATTGACGTTACTTTCAGCTCTAAAAACACCACAAGCCGAATCATGCAGTATCAAGCTCAAAGCTCGGGCCTGTTCAACCATGCCAACATGAGTGTTCAATAACACAGACTCCGTCACATCTAATTCACACCTCTTTAAACATTCGTACGGCCACGAAATGTCTAAAGGCGGATCGGGTCACGAGAAGCTCTTTAGAGACCTGTACCGGGCCACCAGAACTTTTAACTGAACTGGAACTAGGAAGTGTCGACTTTTTAAAGAGTTCGCTTCCGGTCCCTTTTTTGGGAAATCCTGATTGGTTGAAAGAACCAATAGGGGTGTGGTTTTAGTGACGTAAGAGGTTACTACAAGTCAGAAAAACAGTGAGATGTTTTTGGAACAGACAGAGAAATGTTTAGGCGAGATGACAGACCACAGGTGCCAGCTTCTTCTTATTTCTGTCTGATAGGTTTAAAAACATGACAGTTCGTTCCAATAAACTTGTTTGCGACTGTCTCCGACTTTTGACCGACATCACTACTTCTCATTTCAGACAGAAGATCAAAAAATGCATGATTACTCTGTAACAGACATTAACTTGATTTCTACTTTGAATGAGGATTAAAAAAATCATTAATATTGTTTCACAGTTGATTTAAAATGAGTAGTTCACTTCAACATTTAAAATGGTTTGAACTAAACACACTTTGATTATCAAGATGTTGTAAAATAGTAATGATAATATAAAAAAGAGAGTGTTCTTTCAATTGATTAGTGCAGGACACACTTAGAAAGTCTCTGGATGAGCTTAATTTGTATTTCTGGACTCAATTCAATGAAATAACTGTTTCTGTCCCATGAAGGTCCTCAGGGTCAGGTTTTGACCTGAGGCTTAGTTCACTACACTTTTCATCATTTCAATTTACTCAAATAAGCCACTCTAAGGACATGAGAAGATTTTTAACCACTTGCAAGGGTAGACAGTCATGAGAAGGCTTTCACAGATGTAGAAAAGTTACATGCTTAGAGCTTCGTCAGTGAGAATCTGCAATGGACAGTGAGGCAGGAAGTGTTTTTTGGAATGCTTATCAGACAGTCATTGGTGACCTAGGTCTGCCAGCTGTATGTGCAGATTCAAATCAGCTCCTCTCTGATCAGACAAAAGACTCTCTGTCTTCACACACTTCACACACATGGTTCATCATTAGTTTAACATTAGTTCATGATGACTATTGAACTAAATTCCCCTGACAGGTTGCCAAATCAAATCCTGGCCAGGGACCTTTCTGGGTGGAGTTTGTATGTTCTCTACATGCATGGGTTTTCTCCAGGTCCTCCGGTTTCCTCCCACAGACTAAAAACATTTTTGGTCTGTGAGCGGAAACTGGATGTTAGGCTAATTCTTCTTCATCTTTTGGCTTTGCCTTCTTCAGTGGTCTCCACAGCGAGTCATCCTTCTCCATCTCACTGTCCTCTGCATTCTCTGTCCTCACTCCAACTACCTCCATGTCCTTTCTAACTGCATCCATATATCTCCTCTTTGGCCTTCCTCTTTGTCTTTTTCCTGGCAGCAGCATTTCTAACCTCCTTCTACCAATATCATGCTTATCATGCAATATCATGCAATATATGCTTTTATCAGCATGTTGCCATACCAACACGAGTAAGCAACACGCTGGATCGTGTAGTGAACTAGGCCTCGACCTCAACCTGTCTCTGAAGACCTTCATGGGACAGGAACTGTTATTTCATTGATTTGAATCCAGAAATACAAATTAGTTCATCCAGAGACTGTCTAATTGTATCCCAAATTTATCAATTGAAAGAACACTCTTCTTTTTATATTATCATTACTATTTTACAATATCTTGATAATCAAAAGTGTGTTTAGTTCATATCATTTCTAATGTTGAAAGTAAACCACTCACTTAAATCAACTGTGAAACAGTATTAATGATTTTTAAACCTCATTAGACTTAGAAATCAAGTTAAATGTCTATTTACAAAGTAATTATGCATTTTGATCTTCTGTCTGAATGAGAAGTCAGTGATGTCGGTCAAAAGTCAGAGACAGTCAGAGAACGAGTTATTAGCAAGAACTGTATTGTTTTTAAACCTAGCAGAGGGTAAATAACTTCCACTGGCATCTACGTTTGTCTCACTTCGCCATAACATTTCTCTGTCTGTACTAAACGTTCCTAAACATTCTTATACCATCTCTTGACTTTTAATAACACTCTGACATCACTAGAACCACCCCCTGTTGGTTGTTTCAACCAATCAGGAAGTACTAAGTGACCAGAAGTAAGGACTCTTTAAAAAGTCCACACTTCCTGGAACTATTCAGTCTTGGACCAGTCTTGGAAGAAGCGGAGTCTTCTCGACTCTTCAGTCTTTGATCTGAGTCGAACTCAGGTCTTTCATGGAGTCTTCTGGGAGTATTCCACTTCTGAGTGGGATCTCTGACGGAGACACAGTGCCTTGCTGTGAACTCACCCGGGCGGAACGCCTACAACTTCGAAGGAAGCGTGTCTGTTTAACGGAGTAAACCACACGACTTCTGACGATGCCCAGCCACCCTGACCAGAGACGCTGTAAAAGGATCGTACTAATGGACTTCTGTTCTGGAGTGGAGGTATCCCCCATCTAAGGTAACGGAGTCTCTGCACGTCCTGAAGTGTAACAGAGGTTTGAGCTAGTGTTGAAAGAAGTGTGCTAATTCTGGTCAATCAAAACATACACCTTCCTTCATCCATCTCCCTTTAAACTTCTCCATTCCTTCCTTTAAACTCTTCTATTTTGTAAATCAATCTAGATGCCTTCAGAAATGTTCGGTTGTCTTGTTAGTAAAGCGTGCCAAGTTTTGTTAATCAGAACCAGATCAGCGAATCAAATGTACAATGTTTTGATGTTAAATTTTGATTCTGTTAAATAAATGACCGCATTTATTCTGATGGGTCAAAGAAAAATAACGTCTCCTGTCACTGATTAAACAACCATCACAGTTATCTCGTCACATGGCATTAATTTAATTAAAAAAAGAAAGAACCCGTTGTAAATAATTAATTAGTAGTGAAGGTACAGCAAAGCTGTCCGTTGACATACTACAATCGTGTTTACACGAACGTACAAGATGCATATAAAGCTGCACCCCGCCCCCACCTAGGACTTTCTGACCATATCTCCATCTTCCTGACCCCTGCTTACCTCCCCCCAACTGAGATGCGCGAGACCACTGAGATGCTCGAGACCGATACAAAGGGAAGTTAAATCTTGGGGAAAGAATAGTGACTCCATACTGAAAGACTGTTTTGCATGCACAGACTGGCAGGTCTTCAGAGAAGCTGCTGTAAATGATGGGGAGCTAGACCTGGAGAAATACACATCCTCAGTCCTGGGGTACATTAGCAAACATGCTGATGATGTCACCACCATCAGATATGTTAAGAGCTACCTGAACAGGAAGGCATGAATGAATGCAAAGGTTTGCACCTTGCTGGAAGCCAGGAACACCACCCTTCAGGTCTGGCAACTCACAGGAGCTTAGAAGGACATTGAAAGAGCTGGTTGCTGGTATTAAGAAGGCCAAGGCTACATATGCGCCGAGGATCCAGGGTCAATTCACTTCACAAGACCCACTGAGCATATTGAGGGGCATTAAGTGTATAACAGATTACAAAGGCAGAAGTGCAAAATGCCCTAGAGATTCATCAATGCCTGATGCCCTCAACAAGTTTTACACATGCTTTGAAGACCCAAACAGACCACGCAGCACCAGACTCACCTCACCACCAGAAGATTTTCTCAGCATGACCTCAGCCAAAGTGAGGAGTACTTTCAGGAGGATTAATCCTCACAAAGCAACTGACCCAGACAACATCCCTTGGAAAGTGATGTGGGACTGTGCCAATCAGCTCTGCGAAGTGCTAGCCAACATCTTTAACTTCTCACTCACAACAGTTCCCACCTGCCTGAAGACCGTCACTATCATCCCAGTTCCATAGAGTTCTATAGAGACTGGTCTAAATGACTATCGGCCAGTAGCCCTCACTCCAATAGTCAGTGAATGCTTCGAAAGACTGGCCATGACCCACATCAAAACAACCATCAACATAAACGAGGACCCTCACCAGTACGCATACCACAAGAATTGATCAACAGAGGACGCCATCTCCTCTGTGGTCCACACTGCTGTCACCCACCTGGGGCAGAAGGACTCCTTTGTCCGTATGCTCTTTGTGGAATTCACATCTGACTTCAATACCATGATCCCCCAAACCGTGATGGACAAAGTATTCACACTATGACTAAGCCCCTCCATTTGCAACTGGGTCCTAGACTTCATAACAAACAGACAGCAGTCTGTGAAGATCCACAACTTCTCTTCCTCCATAACCCTCAGCACTGGTTCCCCTCAGGGCTGTGTGTTGAGCTATCACCTGTTCACTCTGCTCATTTATGACTGCACATCTACACATCCAGGCTGTCATATTGTACTGTTTACAGATGATACAGCAGTGGTTCGATGCATCACAAACAACGATGAGTCCAGCTACAGGCAGGAGGTGGGACATTTGGAGAGCTGGTGGAGGAAGAACAACCTTCACATCAGTGTGAAAAAAATGAAGGAGATGGTCGTGGATTTCAGATAGAGGTAACACACCTACCCCCCCACCCCCACCCCCCCACCCAAACATGGGAGGATCTGCAGTGGAAGTGGTCTCCAGTTATAAGTACTTGGGTGTGCAACTGAGTGACAACATCAGCTGGGGCAACAACACTACCAGCCTGATTAAGAAAGCACGTCAGAGACTCTACTTCCTCAGGTGGCTGAGGCGAGTTGGACTAGGAAGCTCAGTCGTTACCTCCTTCTACAGGTGTGCAGTGGAGAGCATCTTCTGCCCCATCATCAACATGCGGCATGGAGGCTGCATAGCTGCAGAAAGGAAATCTCTGCAGAGAGTGGTGAAGCCTGTACAGAAGTCTGTTGGAGTCAGCCTCCCCACCATCACAAACATCTACACCTCCAGATGCAGGAAGAGGGCCACTTGCATCATGAAGGACCCCATTCACCCATCAACCACACTTTGTTCCCCACTCCTTTCAGACAAAAGGTTGTGGAGCATTAAATGTAAAACCAACAGACTGAGGAACATCTTCCACTCTCAAGCTGGTAGACTCATAAAACCCTAACCAATGTGACAGTAATTATTTTCTTCAATGTTTAATCACTTTCCTGCAGAAGACAATAAAGAAAACACATCATTTGTCTTCTGTGTTCTGCACTTCTGGCTCCCATGCTTCAGATGGTCGCAAAGTGAGCCTTACACTGTTTAATATTTACATTCAGGTTAAAACAATTTACATTATCCTCTAAAATAAATGGAAACAATACATTACAAAATAATACATTGAAAACAATACATTTCAAGTGTAACAGTGCCATATACTGGACAGTCCAGAACACTGTGTCAAACTTCAGGCCTCGAGGGCCAGAGTCCTGCAACTTTTAGATGTGTCTCTGATGCCACACAGCTGAATCAAATAAGGAGGTCATTAACAGGATTTTGGAGAACTTGACTGCACTGAGAAGCTAATTCAGTCATATGATTCAGGTGTTTTGGACGAGTGCAGCATCTAAAGTTGCAGGACTCCAGCCCTCGAGGCCTGGAGTTTGACACCCCTGGGGCGGCAAACCATCCGCATAGCTATTACAGTCACCATCCACAAGTGGTGCACTAAACTGAAAATGGCGCCAAACTATTTTACAATTGGGACAATAAAATGTCTATAAAAACTTGGTTTTTGAAGTCAAAATGAAAAATAAGTCACAACAACATTGCTAAATTGACATCAACCAACATAACAAAAGGTTTATAATTCAAACAACTACCTATTTTTAAGACAAAACAAAGAAAACCCACCAACAAGGTTTCCATACAACTTACCCTTGCTTCGCACAGTCGCTAAGTGAGGGAGGAAGCTACCGGAGCGAAATGTATTACATAATTTCTGCCTTTGACACATTTCAAAATAAAAGACCTCAATAAAATAAAATTCACAAACATAGTAACACAGTAGAGTAAACAAATATTTCAGAGTACATTTTTAATTCTGTTACACTCACCCCCACAGAATTTTATCTAACGATTCTAATTTATATATATATATATATATATATATATATATATAATTATCTTTGAGCTACAGCTACAGAAAACACCAACAACTTTCAAATTGGTTTTCCATGCTCAGTGAGACTCCCGCCGAAAAGCAGACTCCATAGTCCAAAACATGGTACTTGCGACTCAGAACACAGTCAAATGCATTCCAGGGACCAGAGTGGGCGACACTGAATCCCACCTGAAACTACAGGTTAAAGCTAAGGCTAAATACAGTAAAATTGTTATTCACGTCTGTGATAACGACACTCAGTTATGCAAATCAGAGATCACTAAAATTAATGTTGCTTCGGTGTGTAACTTCGCAAAAACTATGTCAGACTCTAGTTTCCCCCCCACCCCACCCAACTTGACGAGTGATACCATGTTTAGTTTAGTTTAGTTGTATGTCGGCCTTCAACCGCTGGGCGTCCAGGTGGTGTTCTGAAAACAATGTAGGGTGTGTAGATAACTGGAGTGCATTTTGGGGAAAACCCGGTTTGATGCAGAGAGATGGAATCCATCCCACCTTAAATGGAGCAGCACATCTCTCTAAAAACTTAGTTGATTCAATTGGACATCCAAATTATTGACAAACAAGGGTGCAGTCTAGAAATCAGTCCAGCAAGCACAGATGTAGTCTTCCACACATCTCTGCTGTTTTTGATACCCACCCAAAACCCCACTGAAACAATGCCAACTTGCAAACACCTCAAAATAAATAATCTAAAATTCAGTTCTAAAAGTAAATAATAAAAATCTTATTATAATAAACACAGTTACTTTACCAGAACAAAATAACAAAATCATTAAATGTGGATTATTGAACATCAGATCTCTTTCCTCTAAATCCCTGATAGTTAATGATCTGATAACTGATCATCATATTTAAAAAGGGTTCTAAGCTAAATTATCCAGGTACATAACAATAAAAAAGGTTAAATTGTGTCATCTGGACCAGTTTATTTGAGCAACTTTTTATCCCCATACAGAGGACTTCCTCAGTCTACAGCCTGCCAACCAGATCTGTCCCATAAGTAACCTTCAATGCTGTGTTTCAAGCCAAACTCTTGTTGGAATCTCAAAAGTAGGCTTTACACATGTGCAAAAAACACTCATCTAAAACAATCAATCATCATGTGCAACAATCAAATGTTTTAAGCCAGATGATCAACTTACTACTCACAGAAACAGCCTGAGGATAACCAAGGCCAAAGTGGTTGAGAAAAAGGGTTGGTACAGAGATTTGATACAGTAAGGAACCTAAAATTATTGTTTTAAATAAATGATCTATTTGTTTATATTATTGTTTAATCTTGTCATCTTGTCAATTACACAATGTAAACAAAATTTATTACCAATTCAATAGAAAAATAATTTCTGAATCAAAAATTGTTTCTGAATTGAATCATGACACCAAAAATCAAAATCAAATCAAATCACCAGACACTGAGAGATTCACACCCCTACCCACTACTCTGCCATAAATCTGTTGCTCAAATGTTTTGAATATGATCAAAGTTCAAGTGACGGAGTTGTAAGCCTCACAAAACTCACACAAAGAAACTGAAATCCTGTGCAAATGTTTTAGACTCCATCATGGAGGCTGTTCCAACTGGTCTCCAACAGCCACAGTCCAGTGAGGTACTGGCTTTAACGTTTACACATGAAATAAAAGTTACAACATTTCTCTTTCACAGACAGCCCCTCAGATGTGTCTGCATGTATACATATATATTTCCTTCAATTCCCTTGAAACTCTGGTACAACAATTTCCTGCGGGCTCAAGAAGCTCGATGGCTCAGTGGTTAGCACTGTTGCCTCACAGCAAGAAGGTCCTAGGTTCAATCCCCGGTTGGACCTAGGGTCTTTCTGTGTGGAGTTTGCATGTTCTTCGTGTGCTTGCGTGGGTTTTCTCCGGGTACTCCAGTTTCCTCCCACAAATCAAAAACATGCATGTTAGTCTGCCTTCAGGTCCAGGCCTCCCTTGCAAAAGAGATCTGTGACCTCAATGGGATTTGCCTGGTTAAATAAAGGTTAATAAATAATAATAAATAATGAAGTTTTATCTTATCTTATATACTGTAGGTTAATCGTGAATGTAGTACTCCCTACCACGTTGTGCATGTGCATTGTCTTTTTCCAAATTTGTGTATTCTGCTTCTTTTTTGATTATTTCATATACATTTTTTCTGTATAATAAGAAAATGCTACTGGATGCCTTGAATCCCCCCCACCCCCCACCCACCCCCGTCCCCCAATCTATCTATCTGCCTGCCTGACTGTCTGTCTGTCTATCTATCTGACTGCAGTTCTGACTAAAAGCATCACAAGACATGAAACAGCCTTCCACTAATGATGTCAATCGACACTTCACCAGCCTGGGATTCATCGATGATGAACTTGTTTTGCTGTGGGATGAAATGTATGCAGATGACTGATGGTCAGACTTCTTTAAGATAAACTACATGGCACCAGACTTCCTCTAGACCAGACAGGGATATGTCAACAAACACAACTTTGGTTCAGTCCAGCTGACAGGACGCAACACCAAATTTACAGTCAGTGAAAATTATGCAAAATTCCAACTTTAGAAGGACAAACTTAAGAAATGAGATGTTTATTTTCTGCATGTCTGTTTTAAAAAAGCTCAAAATGTGTTGCCTTTTTTTTTTTTTGTTAAAGCGCAGAAAGAAAAATCTGAACACAGATGTCAAAAGTCAGCAACATATGCATGCAAAAGCTCACGTCTGCCTTTGCTTTCTCCCTCTCTTCCTCTGAATTTCCTTTGGGGTTATGCCTTTAAACCGGGCTTTCTGTCACTTGAGAAGGCCTCGCTCTACATGCAGCCCACTAATCATCTCACACCACATAACCCCCAGTCAGAGATGCCGTCATGGCTGCCATTGCAAAGTTGAATATGGGTGTCTGACTGAGCAGGATGAAGCTCCCAGTTGCATGCGTTTTAAATGGCAGGAGTCTACAGGATGGAAAAGTTGAGTAAGACTTGTTTCCTGTCTGATCTAAGGCAGATTCCATCCGTCTAGACATATCCAGATGCAGAGCTTAAGAGAATCTTCATCTTGTCAATCTGTAAACTTCAACCTGATTCACCTCCACAGACCAAAGTCATTTCAGTCAGAATTAGTTAAAATTCCTTCAAAAAATGCTGAAACAAAACCCACCATTCAACATTTCCCAAACATTTGTACATTAAAAGGGAGTGTGCAGTGGTTATAGCTGTTGCCTCAAAGCAAGAAGGTTGCATGTTCTCTTCCCACCCGTGGCTTTTCTGTGTTGAGTTTCCATGTTTGCATGGGTGGGTTTCCTCCCACTAACCAAAAGCATTCTCACTCTCACCTAATTTAATGGTGACCAAGGCTTTTCAACTAAACTGCTCAGGGGGCCGCAGTTACTGAAAGCCAGTAGCTCAGGGGCTGAACATCCAGCAATACCATACCAGCTTTATTTATAGAGCACTTTAAACACCCACAGGACCAAAGTTTTGTAAAATCATTATGTAAATAAACCAATTACAAATATCAAAGTTCATGCTCAATCCATCCATCCATTATCTTTACCCGCTTATTCCATTTTGGGTCACGGGGGTCGCTGGTGCCCATGTCCAGCAATCACTGTGCGAGGGGGGGGGGGTTATACCCTGGACAGGTCGCAAGTCCATCTCAGGGCCACATAGAGACAAACAACCATTCACTCTCTCACTCACACCTAGGGACAATTTAGAGTTACCAATCAGCCTAACATGCATGTTTTTGGTCTGTGGGAGGAAACCGGAGTACTCGGAGAAAACCCACGCATGCATGGAGAGAACATGCAAACTCCACCCAGAAGGCCCCTGGACCAGGGTTTGAACCAAGGACCTGCTCGCTGAGAGGCAGCAGCTCTACCAGTTGCGCCACCGTGCTGCCCGTTCATGCTCAATAATCCAGGTTAAAAAAAATCCATCAAAGTCAGGTCCTCTGGACAGTTTATTTTTGTTGAATTGTTTCATCTTTCATCCAAAATACTTCATAAGTCTTAGGAGCCACAACAGACTCAGTCTTATAAATATCACCTGCTCATAGTGGGTCAACCAGTTTGATGGTACTCAGATGGTTTCTGGAGTACACCCTCTGCCCCGCCAACTCAAAGTATTACAATGATCTGTTACCTTTTAAATTAGATTATTTTGTTGCATTGAATCAGAAATACAATAAACAGAACCCAAAACCCAAACCCAGAACACAAAAAAATAAATATATACACACACACACACACATATATATATATATATATATATACATATACATATATATATACATATACATATATATATATATATAAATATATATATA